ATATGATGATCAATTTACAGAATTTCACTCACAATTAGATTGCCCCTAAATGCCCTGGTACGATCGAGAGTGGGGAGAGTCCGCTCTCTCTCAAAATGCTCTCATATGGCCACGCGTATATAGGCTCTGCCAAGGAAGTCCTGCTCATCGCCTTCTCGTAGAGGGGGTGTTGTTTACGAAATTGAGAGGACGAAAAGCGAATGTCTGGCGCTTTAACCGGGCTGGTGGACACGGAGGGTCCACCTAGGGGAGTTGGAAAACACCGATTCCAAACCAATGGTGCACGTGGGCTCCAGTATCTTGAGGGAACAAATGGCGTATGAATCAAGTGTTGGTCACCGGCTACCATGGGACTACTCACGATGTTCCACTGCCTTGTGGATCAGATCTTTAGGTCAAAGGCTCCGGGTGTGGCCCCCTAAGGAAATCACCTGCTTCAGTTGGGGCACCTGAGCAGTATCGTAGCCCTTACACAAATCAAATGACGTTTGTGTGGCGCATATTTATCTGGTGCTTCCTTGTACCAATATTTATGTGTTTAAATAAATAAAGTATTTAAAAGTAAAATGTACACTTATTTTTCTTTTCAATAATTAATCTTGTTTACATAAGCTTAAATGCGTTGTTTTCAACTAGGAAATTGTTTCTTTGATTTGTTACCCTGTAACCTTTTTTTCTCTTATGCAGGGTACATTAAAAGGTTTATTGGGTATCATATGTGATGCAACACCAACGCATGTAGTGTTGGAATTACATAGCCAATTTAAAAAAGTACCTGTTGCACGTGAAAATATGGCTTTGTTAGATAGTGGTGGTCGTATCATGGATACACAATATGGAGCTACTACACCTCGTATTACACCAATGCGTGAAATGCGGACACCACAGGTAAGAATTGGTCATTTTTTAATTATGTTGAAAATTTGTTTTTCTTATTTGTTAGTTTAACAACATGTTTTGTTTGTATTAAACAAAAGATAAAGTCAATTTAATCACGTCAGTTTTTGTCGTATAAAAGCAGGCCATAGATTATATCTATTTCTTTACGGCTAGTGATATTGATTAATAACTGTCCAATTTAAACCATACCAAAGAGACTCAAGCGTAACTCAAAGGTTAAACAACAGTTCTGTTGAATTTTATATAGTTAAGATCATAAGTCAATTGAAGCTAGACCACCGTGGAAAACCTGGAAGCACTGGACGACCGTTTCGTCCTATTGCGGGACTCCTCAGCAGTGCGCATCCACGATCCTGCCTCGTGGCCGTCCAGTGCTTCCAGGTTTTCCACGGTGGTCTAGCTTCAATTGACTCATGATTTTAACTATATAAAATTACTAAAATCTCCACACACACCCCCCTTGTGATAGTTCTGTTGAGGTTCGAACCGCAGACGAACCAACAGATAAATATTTCGATGATATTACTCTTCATATTGTCATATTTGTAGCAAAAAATCATTTAAACAGAAAAATATTCCACTCAATAAATCTTTCTCGAGCTTTTTAGTTTTAAATTCAAATTACGGACTATAAATTAACTTTCTAAATTTGTGTATGAAATAGAAATTTTGTAGATATAATTGCAAAAGAATTTTTCTAGTTTTATAAATATCAAAGTAGTTACCCATGGATAAATATCCATATCAGGAATCAATCCCAGCTGGAGTACCACTAAAAACCTGGGAGTATCGGACAGACGCCTCGAACCTTTAAAATGGGACTCCTTTAGCAGTGAATATCCATGACCCTATCATGGGTTGGACACCTCTCAAGTATCATGGCAAGGGTGTGGTTCTTTCCAAGTGTCATTGAGTTCCAGTTGCCCGAGCAAATTATTAATAAACATAAACTGTGTTCTTTCTTAAAGGTAGTCCCCTCAGATTTATCATAAAAATCACAACAGTAATATCTTTTCTATTCAGTTACCTTTGTTCACATATGTAGTCAATAGTTCTAATAAAGATTAAATCAGTGACATGACATCTAGAGATATCTTATCAATAATACTTTTATTTATAGTGCATAATAATTAGTTCACTTTCTTGATTGACAAAGAAATTATTCCGTTTTCAATATTACTTACATTTTATTATATCTTTCCTATCCCTTTAAATAACAGTTGGCATATGGTGCTCAAACACCACATGCAGCAAGTACAACTCCTCGTGGTGATAGTACTCCCTTACCGAGTGCATTTAATGCTGGCATGGCTACACCAAAAATTAGTAATCTTGATGAACCAATGACTCCAAGTTCTAGTAAGTTTTGTTCTTTGCATTGTATCCAGAAACTTTTTATATTATCGAATTATCATTAGGATTTATGATTTTGTTATAACGTGTGAGGGCGTGTGTTTCCAGTCTGATATATGAACGTGATAAGTCCGGCAATGAGAGGAGAGCGAATTTTCGATCGGAGAAATGATACACAAAAGCCTTATGAGCAGTCTTGAGTACTTGTCAGTCCTGCTTTCTGTCTAGACCAGCCAGTTAAGTCCATGACACCAATAACAGCCTTTGCAATATGAATCATTATTCACAAACATAATGGGTTCATATACCAAAAAAACTGACCACATCGTACCATAAAATAGAAAATAACATTTGTACAAGAATTGGCCAAATGTGGCTGTGAATAGGAGGAACAGTAATTGATGGACTAGGGATAACTCAAGAATGGTAAATCGTATTATAATAGTCTATGGGTCGAAATAAAGCGCATAATAAAAGAAACACGAATATGAATAGTTTAGTTACTTAACAATAGGAAATATACATATCATATTGGGCCATAGATAGTTCTCAAAGTTACCATTCATAATTCTCCACGGGATACAACAGATTTCTCATCGGTCATTTTCATGGCATTACATTGATTTCTGTCTACGATACATGTTCATCAAACTTGAATTATTCAAATAAAACGGAGCTTGTACCTAAGATTCTACAAATTGGCAAGTAAAATCTGAAGCTGACAGTAATTCTAAGACGGATTTTACTAATCTATACCAGTCAAATAATAATTGTTGACAAGAAGTGCTTAACAATTGTATTAAGTTTCAGGGACTCCGTAGTATTGTTTTTTTATTTCCCATTCGTTTCAAATTTATTAATCCTCACTTTATTTTGCCTTTATCGTGTAATTGCCCCCAAATGCCCTGGTACGGCCGAGAGTCGGCTCTCCCTCTCGAAATGCTCTCATATGGCCACGCGAATATATAGCATCTGACAGGGAAGTCCTACTCACTGCCTTCTCGTGCCACAGGTGTTTTTTACGAAATTGAGAGGACGAAAAGCGAATGTCCGGCGCTTTAACCGGGTCGTTGGATACGGAAAGTCCACCTAGGGCAGTTGGAAAACCCTGATTCCAAACCAATGGTGCACATCCTGAGGGAACAAATGGCGTATGAACCACCGGCTACCATGGGAGTGCATCTTAAGATGCTCCACTACCTTGTGGACTAGACCTTCAGGTCAAAGGCTCGGGGTGTGGTCCCCTAAGAAAACCACCTGCTCCAGTTTGGGCACCTGGGCAGTATCACAGCCCTCACACAAATCAAATGAGATTTGTGAGGCGCATATTTATCTGGTGCTTCCTTGTACCAATATTTATGTGTTTAAATAAATAATATCGTGTGATAAGGTTTTTCAATTTCATAATTTTAGTCATGGGTTTATATTAGTTCTAATATAATATACAGTGGATTTTACTTGACACTGTGTCTTTGTGTTTAAAGTAACTGATTTGCAATTATTGGGCTGTATGTTCGGACCATCTAGTTCAGTTTAGACAGCTAGATAATGTCATCAAACCTCAAATACACCAAATCTGTGGGTCAAGTTCAAATAAATCCACTTTGGTCTAATTAATAAGTCAAATTCTTTTCTTTATAGGCTTTCTATGGACTTCAAGTGATCTTCATCGTATGTCAAATTCAAGTACTCATTCATTGTCCGATACTGAATAAATATGGAATTAATGATACTTCAAAATACTATGAAACTAATAATAACTTATTCGTTTCAAATCCATTCAGTCTGTGATGAAATAAGAATAACTGTAATAACCACAATGATTGAGATGTATACACATAAAAAAACATTGAAAAAAGAAGACTTATGCTTTTCTTGTTGTGGTCTTTCTGTATTTGTTATTGATACCGTTGTTATTAAATACAATGAGGTTATGTGTATTACCGTGTAACAAGCTCATGAAGTGGTGGGGGAGGGGAGATCATCACAAATACTCATGTAAATAAGCAATGTATTAACCTCAGTACTGACAATTGTTCGCTTAAATGTAACTAATCTATGTAATTTATATGTAAATTCTTTTCATCGATGACATTGTGAGTCTTTAGCAGCAATGAAATGTAAAATATATATTTCTCGCACTTATTTGAATAACAATAAGTTTTATTGTTCACAATGGAAACTTAGACCCAGCACTCATTACTTTAATAGGCTGATTCATTAGAATACCATACAGAGCCGAACGATTTCCGAAATGGTTATCAGTTACTAATACATTTAGAGAAATTCGACTCCGAAAGCAACACAACCCAAAAGGATCTCCAGTAATTTTTGAGAAATTTCGCTAAACAACGATTCTTCGCAGTCATCGAGTAGATATTGTCCTCTGATGTCACTGCATTTTAATGAAATATATAAGACAACAAAAAGAATCAATCATATTATGTCTACTCTTGTTTCATTAACACAATCTGTTCTTGTATTCATATCGGTTCACTTTGTCAAATTACTATTGTTTGTACGGAAAACAAAACGAAACTATTATAGCAACTCTCCTACAATCAATTTCAATTATAGTTCACTTTTGTTTATTCCTTTTATTAACTCATTTAACAGACAATGTTATTCGGCCATTGACAATTCGTTCATTCCTTTGTCCTACTATGATTACTACCTTGTCAGTATAAACGTTAACGCTTGATCATATGTGACAACTTATGCACATATCTCTCTCTAGCTTAAATATTGCTCGATGAGTCATTCTCTTTCCCATGTATATATATGTACTCGAATCCTATTAATAGCCTTTGCCCTGCTGGGCCCTTATGCAATTTGACTTTGTATTCGCTCGCGCATAAATATTAGTCTCTCTGCTCGAAATCCGCTCTGTGTGCTTGTATCTTTGTTATGTGTGCTATCCGTTAATAAACTGCAGTCGCCACTTCTTATTGCCTTCTGATTTCAAACACCGCTGGGATTTATACAATAACGGTTATCAAGGTGATTAATTAACAAAGCTAAGCTACTACAATATAGGTAGAAATATTATGAGGGAACTATATAATTTATAAATCGAGTTCATTGCTGACGAACCTTTGGAAATGAAGGTACCATAGATAACTCCAATACAAGACTTTTAAATAAGTACACTTTTCGGTTTCTTCATGTCAGATGTTACATTTTGAAATTTAATCCAGTACTCAAAACAGATAACTTGAAATAAAATATAACGAATGAGAAGCTATTCTATTACCGTTAGTCAACGATTACACAATGAGAATATGACTTCCAAAAATATTTTTTCTTATTCCACATTAGGGATTTATTCACATTCATACTGTACATAAATTTGCTTGAGTAATTCTTTATTAAGTGAAGTATCATTTTGTAAATTCTTAATAAATTTAATTATATTTACACGTTCTAATCCATCAATCATCATCCAAGCAATATCAAATCTTGGCAATTTTGATAAAAATAATAAACGATCTACAATGTGTTGATTTGTTAATTGATCTGATAGATAAAATGCTTGCAGCATACGTAATAAGAAATCACTGTCCATATTTTCACCGAATAATTTCACATAATCAACTGGTTGAATATTACACAAATAAATGATTGCTTCTTTGCTAAGATTTGGTCGGTAGTTCGATGAAGAATTTCTCTGACATAATTCACGTAGTTCGCGTTCTAATTGAAACCAATTTGATGGTGGTTTATGTAAGGTTGTATTTAACAATGGTGGTTGTCGTTTAAAATTATGATCACTTTTACAGTTAATCGTTTCATTAATAGACACTATTGGCGTTGACGTACTGGAGGATATATTTCGAGATTTCAAACTATCTGATATCTTTGGAGTTGAATGCGAAACATTCTCATTTTTTGATTCATCTTTATTCAAAATAGAATACCTGTTATTTGAGACGGAACTATTATCATCAGTACAAAGAGATTTTGTAATATTCTGTACAGGTGTACTCAGTATATTTTTATTATGATTATCACTATCAACTTCAATTATTGGTATTCGTCTCATTTTTCTTGGATTACTCGACTGGATTGAACTACAAGACACGGGAGATTTAGATATGTATGCGACTTCCTTTTTACCGACTAAAGCTTCGAGCTCATTTGTGGCAGTTTTATTATCTGGATCGAATCTAAGCAATTCCTTTAAATCTTCAATTGCTCCAGTAATATGACCCAGACCTTTTCGGGCAAGTGCTCTCCTAAGAAATAATTTAATACATAAATAATAAATATACTAAATAAAGTTTAATATGACACAGTATTGTAAACAGACTGTACTGAAATTTCGATGTAGATTCTTGTGTTTGTTATCACTGATCAACAAAATGCGTGACCTGAACATCAAATAAAAACATTATTCATCTCACAACTCAAGTCTGTATTGTTTATTAGTGATACAATGTTCCGGTTACCTACTATGTTGTTATCTTAACTAACACAAATTAATCCAATAGTGTTGCATGGATAGTACTTTTCGATAAATGCCAAAAACACGAGTCTTAAAATTCCCAGAAAATAATTGCCTAATTTACTTAGTTCAACATCAGATCACAGTTTGGTAATAACGTTGTACTTCTTGATAGATACATGCATACGTCAAACAACATGTCAGTTACAGTTACAATGTATCTAACTGAGTGTTGTAAAAACTAGAAAGTTAACTCAGCGAGAATCAAAGTCTCTTTTGAACTACAAGATTTTTTTGTGTCAGTTATGAGTCCTCAGGAAAAGCATGTAACTGGAAACTCATAAGTACTCTCAATGTTCTTATTCATTATATGCCTTCAATTCTAAATTTCAACACTAAGTGGTAAGCATAACATCTGACAATAGTATTTAGATGTAAGGTGAGTATTAGGAAGAAGTATGGGAAAATTTTAAAGGTTATTTTTGGAGGAATCAGTTCGTATGCTTCTTATGTGTATTTATTAAACTGTCAGTAAATGGTATTTTTATATTATCCTAATAGCAAGCTTTCATCCGACTTACTGACTGTATCAATTAAGATTTATTATTTATGGAGCTTTGTAGTCTAGTATTTATATTACGTAATCAAGGGTTTTTATGAATTGATTAATGCAATAAAACGGAGAACACAGAGCACCTGGATGGCTTTCCTGATGTTCTGATTGTTAGTTCGGGAATAAGCGAAATTCAAGTGAGCTATCAACAGTTGACACAAAGCAACTTGGTTAGTGAGCATAGGAAAATACAACATGGAGAGGGGAGGTGGTTGAAGTAAAATAACAGGAATTCCCGAACTCAGGTTCCCACTCAGTCATCACTAATCAACAAGATGCTTCGGGAACCCTAAGAGAATTAATGCTCCTGAGGGACTCAGACATAGATGTCATCATACTACAACTTGATTAATAGGATTTGATTAGCAATACGTATTAGACACAATATGACATTGGCTACAACCAAACTATTAGTTGGTATGAATAACTATCAGTTTAAACTTCGTTTCCAAATTATAAGTTGAATGACTATCGAACTGAAATAAAACCCTACAAATTATATAACGGTTAAACAAATTTTATATTTTAGAAGAGTAATCCTAATTTAAGTAGAAGATATTAAAATAATCGAAGTAAGTACTTACCGATAAAATGCTTTAACAGAAGTTCTGTCTAGTCTTAAAGCAGCTGTGCAATCGGCTTCAGCTGATGCATAACGTTCTGTTTTAATATAAGCAAATGCACGATTTATGTATGGGATGGGATCTTCAGGTGAAAGTCGTATGGCCATAGTGTAATGCTCGATAGCTTCATTTAGTTTACCTTCCTATTTGTTCATGAAATAAAAATGTGTGCATAAAAGTTTTATTTCGAATAAATATAAGTGGACAAACCTTTAAACAGACATCACTAAATGTTATCCAAATGGTTACCTCACACTGAATCTATCTTCTCAAACGATATGCCTGTTGAGTAGATCTGTCCTTTTTTAGCTTACAATTTTGAATTTGAAATCGAAAGTGATATAAGTGGAAGTACTAAAATACTAGTAACACAATAAGAGATAGGATAATCTAAACAGCGAGAAGTATTTATACAAGCATTCATGGACTTAAATTCAATACATTTGAGCAGAGAGTTGAACAACATTGCTGTTGACTTAAGCTTTTGTCAAATGATAGTAGAAAAATTTACAATCAATACACTGAGTTACACAGTAAAATGACTACCTCTACTTTTCCCAAATGATTACAGCTGCATCAAACACCTATAGGTATGAATGATAGTCATGTTAGATACATTGAAGTTGTTGTTAAAGGATGATTTTGTTTATAGTGTAACAATCTCCATTAGACCTGAACTTATTATTAATTACACAAAGCCGGGTGATGAGTCCAAGGATTAGTAGGGAGATAATGAGGACCAGACAAAAGACATAATTAACCTGAATGGATGAGATCTCATAGCAACACAGCATGACTTCGCGATCTGAAGTGTTAAAAATCCAAACTTTGACACTTATGCGAAAAACCTAGAGACATAAAAGGTGGTTTAAATTTATGTATATCTCTTCGGTTTTTTGCAATATGTTCCTTATAATCTGCTTTCACATTTAAGGGCAAATCGAAAAATCTGGTAATAGATTACCAACTAATTATGTTGGTTTTTTACCCAATTAGTTGGGTGGTCTAATCATCAAGCATACATTGACTTCAGGGACAAAGTTTTTGAAGTCTTATTGTTTTACTTCCACTCTAAGCAGAATGTATACCCAATAATAGTCTATCTCGATAAACGATGGTGGGTGGCTTAGCAGTACCTTGAAAGGGAGTTAAGGATGAACAAGTTAACATTTGACAATAGTCCATGAATTCACTGGCTACTAATTTTAACCATGTTCGCGGGTGCTGGCTACTTGATTGGCGTCCTCATAAGAGCCGCAGTCAATGTTTGGAGATGTTGGGTAACGTGACTTAGAGTCATTTGCAATGGTGAAGATTCATTTGCTTTTCTCCTAAATCTAAGTCCGGAATTATTGTATAGTTTTATTCAGCAAATTTATTCTTTCTTGCCGAATCGTGTTCTTAATATTTGATCATTTTACCATCACTGCTACTACTAATAATACTGCGATACTCCTCTAAATAATTCCATCTAGTTGTGCTTATGTTGTGTAAGGAATTGGGTTGATGCAAATGTATCCTAGGTTTTTATATCGCTTATGAATAAAGGACTGATTAATAGCTGAACTTGTGACAAGAATATAGTGTATTGTGATACATCTTGATGATTGGTGATAAAATTATTAGTCTACTCAGTGTCTATCCCTATTTGATAAACTTTTATGTTTTCACTTACAAAATACTTTGGATTTTTTTAGCTTTCATGTACACTATGGCTACTGAAATATATCCTCAATGCAGATTACGGGATATTTTAATTTTGGTGCATAGAATACTAGGGAAGGATTCACGGTTTCACATATCTATTCCCCCAACTAAACTTAGAGGATATAGCAGGCTAGTTCAAATGCCAAGAAAAAAACAAAATACCCACGACAAACAGGCTTTTTCACCAAATGATAAACTTTTGGATTCACTACCGAAAGAATCGGTATCCAAACTTTAAACTGACTAATTGAAGAAATTATACATACACAGAAGCTCACTAGAAAAAGAATAGTAAATGCCCTGAGCCTTCTATCCTTGAAACAGAATTCGAATCTGAGATCTCATGATAAGGTTAATATTACTGAAATCAAATCTTAACATTTATTGTGAAAAAAAGAAAGGTATAATTACACTAACTTTAAAACGAACATTGCCTAATTCACGAGCATCTTTAGATAACTGAATTCTTCTCTGATCTTCTTGTTCTTCATCTGTTTCACTACTGCAATCTTGGTCATTAAGAGAAATGGAGTTTTCATCAACTTCACGATGATCATTATGTTTATCATCATCTAAAGCCTCATTAGCAACAAACTTATCCCAAGCACGATAATCATTAGATTTGATTCGTTCAACCTTTTTATTGTTAACATTTTGTTTAACTGCTTTCTAAAATTATTAGAGAAAATGATTTTTCGGAAAGAAAAATATCAGACACTCCTAGTACAATTTTACCTTTTTATGCTTTTTCAATAGACTATTACGAATAGCCGGCAACTCCGGTTGAGATGTGCTCTCCAACTGTTTGCTTTTTGATTCAACTGTTTGTTTCCATGCTTCAAAATCATTTAAGAAACTTTCTACTTCTAAATTATTTTCACGCATTTGCATTTGGAAATTCAAAAACTTCTCGGGATCCATATCAGTTTAGTAATTTTAAATGAATAGTCAGACAAATAAATCAGATCTAACTAAAAAATAAAAGTTAACTGATCACATGTCGATAGACAATATCTTTTAAGTATGAAGTTGTTAACAACTATTTGTAAATATGGTAGTATATTGGTGCATTATAGGCACACCTTAGCAAAATGCAGCAAAAAACCTAACATATATTTTTTTAGATATAAGAGAGAATTTCCTGTTGTGGATACTAAAAATATTACAAAAATCAGTTGTTAGTTTGACCTAATTATAGAATCATTGATTGAAGTCTTTAGTATACGAAAAATAAATAGTTGGGTAACTTCAGTAATTTGTGCTGAAAAGCAAATCCTATTTGTTTAGTTAGAGATGGGTTGATGTTACCTATTACAAACTTCTAAACTTTGTTTCATTTGAGGTATAATAACATAATTTAGGTATATGTAATCTGCTCTGAGTATTGTTTGTATGAGGTCCAACAATAACATTGATTTGTCTAATCAGTAGATGATGTTAGATTTGAACATAGAATTTATGGGATGAGAGAGCTGAGTTGACACCACCACCTCCCATATAGAGTAATAAGAATAGTTTTTAAAGCAAGTATTTGCTGGATGATTTGATACAGCTTATTTGCGTAGCGACTTCGAATAAGTCAGCAGTTGATACAAGGAGCACAGTTTCCGTATTAAATGATTACACCAGGATTATTAATTTCTGTGAAACCCAGAGAAAAAAACTTCATACAGATGACAAGATATAACACCCAAATCAATCTTGAAATATAAACAAAAGTGATATGTGAGAAGTGGAATAGACCACTAGTTTCTTCTAATCAAAATTGCGAAACCTAGCGATCAACGTTCCAATCAATCAACTACAACGTAGGGCCAGGCACATATATGCATCGGTTCAGTTTGTCACACATCATTAGCACAACAAGATAAACACGAAATTCATGGTAGTTACTTCAATGGTAGTAATGTATAAAAGAAAGATTGTGTATGAAGATAAAGTACATGAAGAATTAGTATGCAGAAAGTCAGTCACAACGTAGAACTTCGTACGTACGTACATCAGTTCGAGTTGCCATACTACATTAGCACAGAGATGCAGTTGTCGATTCAAATCCCATAGTGGTAGAAGTAGTAGGAGTATAATCAGAAATCCAAAAGATTAGGGTTTGAAGAAATTATTGAAGGAGTATAGTACAGTGAAATAAATTTGGAAAGAGAAAAAGATAAAGACATGAGGAATTTAGAAGATTAGAATTTGGTCGAACACAAAGAGTGGATGCACCTTCGCCATTGCAAACGATTTTGAGCCATGTCATTCAAGGTCTCTAACCATCGGTTGCTGTCATCTCGCGAATCCCAACCAGGTAGTCTACACCTACCAACATGGCCCAGTCCACTTGTCAGTGACTTCATTGATTTGTCCCACGTTTTGGTCTGGCCTCCCCTAGCTTTCTTCCAACCTACTCCTACACCATGAAACATTGCACGTCGGGGCAGTCGGTGGTTGGGCATACGTAACACATGTCCCAGCCATCTCAACTGATGAAGTTTCACTACTTCATCAATCGATTTGCCATCACTACCTAGTACTCGTTTCCTAACAACTGCATTACTTACCCGGTGGTCCCAGGATATACGAGCAATGCTTCGAAGACACCTATGATCGAACACTAGTAGCCTACGAATATCCTCTACTCTTATTGGCCATGTTTCACTGCCATAAAGTAGGACGGAGCGAACTGCTGCACAGTAAACCCGTCCTTTGGTTGCTAGACGGAAGCATATTTGCTTCAGGTAGAAAGATATGAAGCAAATTTAATCTTACGGTTTAAGGGAAGACAAATAACATATACACCTACGTCATTGTGATCGATTCTGAGCCATGTCACACAGAGTTTCCAAACATTGGTTACGATAGTCACACAGACCCCAACCAAGTAGTCTGCATCTACCAACATGAATCACACCAAAAGTTGGTGACTTTATGGACTGATGCAACATTTTGGTTTGGCCGCCCCTAACTCTCCAACACCAGTCAGCATTGCGCGTTGCGGTAATAGGTGTTCAGCCATGTGTAACATGTGACCCAACCATCTCAGTCGATGAGGATTTACAAACTCATCAACTGATTTACCGCCTTACCTTAATACCCTGCGTCTAAGTAATGACGAAAGGAACAAAGATTCGATCTAAAGTCAATTTCAGACTGTATTCTTGTAGTAAACAGGTCTTTATCTTATCCCGGGAATAGGAGTAGTCTTCGATATTTGCTACAGAAGTTAGATCAGGTGAACAAACCAACTGTTTTTGCTACTGCAGACTATAGATTAAGTATTCAAAAACCATTGCAAAGCGATAAGACTGCTGACCTTGCAAATAAACTTTTATGAAAAGCAACATGATTATTGTGACAATTCGGAATCGGATGAAAGTGACACGAACTGCCAACGCTAGAACTAATCTTTTCTTTAAACTACCTGTTCTGAACTACACAATGCCTTATATTATGAAGCAAAATACACTGATACGTCATATATATATCCAGAATACTCAGTATTTTCGTGGCAGGTTAGTGTGAAAAAATTGGTCCGTTTTTGTCCACGTCTCCATGTCAACGTATAGTGCAAATAATTCATTATTATTTAATGAGCACTATGGCTACTAGAATAATCTTATCCAAGTGAACATTATAACTGCTTATATTTGATTGTTTCCTGAGTATAAGGGATACATTTGTCTCACAGTTATGGTGTGGTTGAGTTCCGTAGCTTCCAGTACTCATAGATATGAGTACTCATTTCGACTTCGACTGACTTTTTCAATCTGAATTTTGTGGGTGGTTATAAGTTACAACATTTTTCCATATCATTTCAACATAAACGAATAAATTAGACTGATGAAGTAGATTAACACATGTTTTTGGGGATTTTCAAACAAACAGGTTCAAAATGTAAAAAATGCCTTCTAATATATGCGATATGCAAATAGAGCATGTACTAACCAAGTAAACCTTCTACATCTACGACTTAACTCCTTCAGGCGACTACAAAACTAGCGACGCCCTTGACTTTAAAAACCCCGGGTATAAGTCAATTTCTGTAACCAACATTTATACTCTGCAGTAAGAAGTATGAAAAGTCAGTTTTCAGTCTCAATTTTCAGTAATAAGGATAGTAGGTTTATGAACCTGTGTTAATTCTGGCAGATTTCCTTCCAGTGAAGGTCTGGCTTCTCCTTGAAAATGCTCATTGATGGGGCTGATACCACTTGTTCGGGTAATGCGTTCCAGTCATTGACTACTCGATGAGAAAAAGGGGACCCCATCCTTAGATTATTAGATCACGGTTTGTGAACCTTCTTGCTATGACCTCGGAGAGTATCACTGCTGGAAGGAATGAAAAGATAAGGCATATTTACAACCAAATCATAATTAAGGATACGAAATACCAGTAATCAACAAGAAGACTTCGGAACCGGATTATAGTTTCACTGCATCGGAGGTTAATTGGCAGTCTATTCCACATGGTTGAGTAGCGAATAACGAAAAAATTCTGGCGTAAATTTGTGTGGGTTTTTGTAATCGCTAGAATATTTTCCTTATTGCGTAGATTGTGGGACGGCATCATAGAGTATGAAGGGGTAGATAGCGAAGAGTAAGAAATACCGTTAAGAAGCCGGTAGAGAAAGATAAGGTTTAATTTGATAGGCCTGATCCAGAGAGGTTCTAGTTTGAGTTGTTGACATCTCTTGTGAGATGCAGGTACATCCAGCTGACGAGTCCCAAATAGGACGAAACGCGCGTCCTGGATTCCACTGCTAGCCACTATCCATCTCTGCTTACCATCTCTTGTGATAGTTTTTGTTGTCCGAATACCCCAAAACAGCTTTGGTGGACCTTCTTTGAACACCATCAATTTTAATCATGTCATTATGCCTGCAATTACTGTAAACTAAAATACCATATTCAAGAATTGGTAAGATACATTTTCTGTATAATAATAATCTCGATTCGGTATTATTGAAATTAATCATTATGAATCCGATGAGCTTTCTAGCTTTGGATACTTGAGATGCAATGTGTTCAGAAAAGTTCAAACTGTCGCTATATCTTGAACCCAAGTCACGAACAGTGTTGAGATGTTTCAGTGCATACAATACAACATGCACCAATCAAATTACACTTGACGGAGAAGCTTTGGAGAATGTGAAAAACTTTACATATCTGGGCAGCATCATCCATTAACATGGCGGATCTGATGCAGGTGTGAAGGTGAGGATCGGCAAAGAATGATCAGCATATTTACAACTGAAAAATATCTGGAACTCAAAACAATCGTCTATCAACCAATACCAAAATCAGAATTTTCAATACAAATGTCTTCTGTATGGGGGGGAGACGTGGATAACTACGAAAGCCATCATCCAGAACATACAGGTGTTTATTAACAGTTGTCTACGCAAAATACTTCGGATCCGTTGGCCAGACACTATCAGCAACAAGTTACTGTGGGAGACAACAAACCAGATTCCAGCGTAGGAAGAAATCAGGAAGAAGCGTTAGTGGATAGGACACGCATTGAGGAAATCACCCAACTGCGTCAAAAGTCATGCCCTCAAATGGAATCCTGAAGGTCAAAAGAGAAGAGGAAGACAAAAGAACGCATTACGTCGTGAAATAGAGATAGACATGAGAAGAATGAACAAAAGTTGGATAGAACTAGGAATGTAGGACCAGGACAGAGTAGGTTGGAGAATGTTGGTCGGCGGCCTATGCTCCATTTGGGAGTATCAGGCGTTAGTGAGTAATAAAGGATCAGAGGTTATTAGTCGTTAGAATCAAGGAAACATAAAGGGTGGTTGGTGTTATTATTGAGTGACGTTCAGAGACAGATAATACTGTGGGATAATTTTAGCCTTTTTCAGCCTCCTGCAGATACTCCACCGAAAACAGATATGGCACGGGTGATTTCGTCCTACACCGTTATTAATGCTTCCGATATTCTGGAGGGATATAAGTTCGAAACTTCTAAAAGCCCCCAACTTCGCATGTATCTATTCTCGACCATCATTTGTATGCTGCAACTCTACCTCCATAAAGTGCGCCAAGTGTGATATTGATATTAACATGTTTCTTATGAAATCCATTTACATTCATATCTTATGAAATATCAACCCAGCTGAGTAATTTTCAACAGTGAAAATTGTAACTTCTTTAACGATTTGATCTTGCCTGTAAAACGGCATGCCTCATGTAACAATCTGTTATTTGAGAATAAATTATTATTATTATTATAAAGGATTCATGGAGTTAAAAACAAATAGGATGGGCTGCGTAACAAATGAATAGAATTTGAAAAGTTCACATAATTTAACAGACATAGGTTGCGAAAGTGTATGAGTGAAAGGGTGGTTTAACAATTGGGTTATGGAAGAGGAATATAATACAAAACCAAATATTGACCAAAATAAAATTAATGACTAAGAAAAACACAAATAATTGAGTTACCAGGGTAGTAATGTGTTTATTAATGTCTGTTTTTGAATACATGGATCCGGTTTAAGTTTTTTATCACGATCGCTTCAGCAAATCAGAGAACGGCCGTACTTCTTTGTCTGCTAACAATTTTGAAAGCATGAGAGATTTCAATGGTATGCCCGGTGTCAAGTAAATGCCGTGCTATTGCACTGTTGAGAGCCTTGATTCCTCACAGCCTCAGTTTCTTTGGAACATACTGAGAAATGTGAACATGCACTGTTCTCTCAGTTCTTCCAATGTATGTGCTTTGACACGTACATGTAAACTGGTAAATGCAGTTGAAGCTACTAAAGAAAGAGGACTTTTCAATTTTAGTTTGTTTGGGTGAGCAGTCCATTTCCCACACAGTTGTCGTTTTTGCTGCTAGTAGGTCACTTTCAACGCGGGAGTGATTCTGTGATTAGTTATTCCTGTACCTTCATCCCCTTTAGAGCGTAAGTATAAGAAGCAAGTTTTCTTTTCCACTCTACCATACTTTACCTGAAGTTTGGTGTTTGAATATTTGTGGATGAATTTTGCCGGATATGCGTTTTAACGTAGGCAATTAGTGATAACCTCTGAACTTTTCTTGCACATATATATCGCTATCATTGATAAACTTTTGTCATTTCAATCATTTACATTCATTTATGTCAACTACTCCACACTATTTATTATCTGAATGCTAAAATTCTAATACATGTTTGGTTGTAAGCATCTGATGAGAAACCACGAAACATAATAAATTCATATTATTCTGCATCAATATTTGTTCTGGCTTTATTTAAATTTTCCTTATTGGTTGATATATTAGATTGCTTTCAATGTGTATGTTGATTGGTGACTGACCAGAGTTCAAAGCCTATGGGTACATAAGCGTTGTAATGATGACGTTTGGTTTTCCTTCCTTTATCAGTTCATCTTTTAGTCTGCGTAGGATTGGTTGAGGTGAATTTGTTAGTCTGTGTGTTAAACCTATTCCAAAATGCTTCAACAACGTCGTCGCCATTTTTGATATGTATTTTATGTATGGTAGGAAGATCTGTCTATTGGTTTCTCTACTTGATTTTGTTTCTGCTGATGTGTTTGGTTGATATTTTTCATGAAACCGACTGGGTTTATGTTCTTGTGAAATAAAGTTCTTAACATTTTTCTTCATTCTTTCGAGCTGCAAGTGTGTTGCATTGTGCCCTCACTCTTTTAAACAAAGTCTGTGAGCAGTCTATTTTATGAGTTCTTGGGTTGTGGCTACCACAATTCATGATATAATCTGTGTGTGTCAATTAGAGATATGTTTAAGAATACAAATTATTGAATAGGTCAACTCTAACAACCTTCTCATCACAGAGTATATTTTCCGGGTTAAGTATTATAGAACTTTTGTACCTTTGCTTGCGTGCATGAATTCTAATGTATTTGCTTCTCTTCCTACTAGAAGATATGCAAGGAGAAAAATGTGAATGAAGGAGATGGTTAGTATCTGATAAGATAACACCTGCCAAGAGCTTGAAAAACTTTAGATGTCCATCCACAAGCATATTAATAGTGACCTGGAAAGATTCACCGCACACCTTGCTAACTGCCCTCAGCACTCTTTGCAATACAGAGAAGCCTTTTCTCAAAGCTTCGGGAAAGAATAATGGAGAATAGCAAAGAATAACAGGTAATATGCAGGAATTAACAAATTCTATGAGTAAAAAGCGAGTAATCACAAGAGCATGCAACCTCTATATGTAGCAAGTCAGATTACAGGAGGTCCTGAACATTGGGATGAATTAATTGACTGAAGACAATTTTGGACATCAGTTTCAGTTAAAATAGGAGCACAACTATTCTTCGAACCTGTAGATATAGGAAGCATGACATCAGATGACTAACGTACAAAAGACTTATTTAAGTCACAAACATTCAGCTGCTTGTCGCCTCTAATGTGTCTGTCACCCGTAAGTTCTTCAAAGAGTTTCGTTATACTTGGAGAGGTTTTACAAGATAGGAGTTTCTGAGTAAACATAGAGTTGAAAGGCCTAATTTCTTCAAAATCATTCGCTGATATTTCACAAATATATTTTTCCTATTTAATGTCTAATCTCTAGGTTTATTAGACCATTTAACTTACGAACTTTAACAGATTTTTCTTCCTCATATATTCTTTCTTTTACCCTCCGTAGTCGTTTTACTTTTGAAGATTTAAGTAGATCAAAGCTCGAAAAATGGTTTCAGTAGGACAAGAAATATCGAAACAGAATTTAAGATAACGAATGATGACAACGACTGTGTTTTACAGTGGGTCATCTGAAAATGATCCCCAGCTAGTCGAACAAACCATGTTTTTCAGATTTTTATATTTTCTTTTGAGTAATTCCTATATATGACTTTCTCGGTCTGATATAAGAGTGTACTCTTTCCGTGCTTTCCATATACTTAAGGTAGAACACGAATTATACAGTGATCCAGGCTAGAAAATAGAGCACGTATACTAGTCACCTATGTACCTACATCATTAATGAAAAAGAAGTGAGTGAGAAAATATACTACTACTTTTTTGTGACCTAGTGATGAAAGGAAGCTACAG